GGCTCAGGACTGTCCTTGTGATCAAAATTTCAGGATCTTACAAATGCAGATCGAACCTTATCAGTCTCCTAATCACTCATCTGATCACCTTCAGCCACAGAGAATTTTTTCCCACTATACCCTGTTCCTTGGAGATAGTATCCTTCGTGTAAATATCTGGCCTGCCACCCCATTATACACAGACAGGACACTGAGGCCCAGAGAAGCAAACAGACTGCCCGGTGTCATCTGCTAAGTCACAGGGGCCCAGCATAGATCTGTTCTCCACAGTGCCACCCCGCTGGGACTCTGGGACTGTGGTGGCATAGCTGTAAGATGCAGCGAGGAAGGGCAGCCTGCCCTGAAATAGGTACTTCTGTTTTTCACAGTCCACAAACACTGGTACTGCAAACCATGAAGGATCTGCATCATGCAATCTATGCAGGGCCTCGGGATTACTGACGGCCAGTGAACCTGAAGCCTGGGGCTCTGATTGTGTTTTTTCTATGGGACCTTCGTACCCACTGGCACAGGCTGTCCCTGAGTCTGCCAGCGAAGCCACACATCTCTCCATGCTAACACCGATGCAAAGCCTCTGTGAAGCTGGACAGTCACCTGGCTGCAGCTCTGCCATCTTAAAGGTCACAGCCACCAAGTCATAAGTCATGCTGGACAGGCCCTCTGAAGCAGGCATAGTGATGCACACCTGTCACTGGGGGAGCTGAGGCTAGAGAGGGGCAGGTGTGAGCCCAGCCCAGACATCTTAGTGGAACCTCATCTCAAAATTCTTAAAAAAAGAAATGTGTTTAGACAGGGTCTATGTAGTTCAGACTGCCAAGATTGCCCTTGAGCTTGAGGTGATCTTCCTGCTTCAGCCTCCCAAGTACTGGGATGACAGGTGTATGCCACCATGTCCAGCAGAAATTTAAAAAAATAAAATAAAACAATTGGTTGTAGCTCAGTAGAAAGCCTGGAGGTTCAAGGTTCAATCCCCAGTACTCCAAAAAAGAATCAAAAAATGCAAGAGAGAAAACCACTTGCAAAGCAATCTAGAGGCTGGACTACACTGTTCACTTGGACTTGTACAGTGCCTAAGGATAGGGATCTAAGGTGATCATGGTGGGACCCCTGCAACAGACAAGCTCACAGACTTTAAGCAGAGCCCCAACTTCTGTGCCATGGTCTGTTTTCATGGGCTGTGAGGACAGCAAGCCCATCCTGACAACAGAAAAGACAGGGGGACAGGCTAGCAGCAACAAGCCACGTGTCCCATTGAACATTCACACCACCAGCAATGGCAGGCTGCTTGAAGCCAGGGCCTGAGCATGAGAGGCTTTCAGGCTGGGCAAGCGAAGGCTGCCCTTTGGTGGGTGTGGAGTTGGGTGCTGTGGGTGACTCTGCTGTGCCTTGGTTTCCTTAAGTGACCTCACAAAGTGAAGCAGCCTCCTGTGGCTTGAAGCCAGGTGAACAGCAGCAGAAGGGGAAGACAGACGCGTCACCTTGGGTGCAGATGGGGCAGGCATGGTGTTCTTCTATCTGTGTTTCCAGCCCTGAGCAAGGGCCAGGTTCAAACCAGGCAGGTGCTCAGAGGCCTCAGCTGCACGCAGGCTTCTGATACCGCCTCCCTCTGGGAGCCCGTGGCTCATGGAGTTGTTGAGTAGGGGTGGGAAGCACAGAGTCACAGCAGGAGCCCTGCTCAGGAAGGCCTTGTGCCCTGTCCTGCTCGTTGTCACCACTGCAGACCTTTGCTGAGTCATGTCACTGAACAACAGAGAGAAGTGCTGGGGAGATAGCTCAGATGTCTAAAGTGACTGCTTAGGCAAGCTCAGGCAAGCACAGGGACCAAGGTTCGATTCCCAGCACCACATGCTGCACAGGCCCTGCCCCCAGGGCAGCTGAGCTGGCCAAAGTCCCACACATAGTGGCACACACCTGTAATCCCAGCACTGGGGAGGCTGAAATTAGGAGGATCACTATGAGTCTGAGCTGCATAATGCGACCCTGTAACAACCAAATACCTTTAAAAGAAAAAAAAACAAAAAAACCCAGAGAAATCTTATATCCTATTTTCTTGAATTATTTTGCAGTAACTTCAGACATCGGGAAATATTAGAAGCACTTGGGGAAACTGTTGAAAAGTAGATTTCTCGTTGGAAAGGGTGCACACTTGTGATCCCAGTACCCGGGAGGCTGAGGCAGGAGGATCCTGGTGAGTTCAAAGCCAGCCTGAGTTACCTAGAGAGTTGAAGGCCAGCCTGAACTACCTTAGTAAGACCCTGTCTCAAAATAACATCAACAACAAGGAGGGCTGGAGAGATGGCTCAGTGGTCTAAAGCACCTACTTAGAACAAGCTTAGCAAAGCACAGGGACCGCGGTTCAATCCCCCAGCACCACATGCCAGCCAGCCCCGCCCCCTGGTGGGCTGAGCTGGCCACACACACACACACACACAATGTAAAAATAAATAAATAAATATTAAAAAAACAAACAAGGAAAAGGTGGATTTCTGGGCCCAGCGCCTTCAGATGCTAGTCAAGTATACATGCTTTTGGAAAAATAACTCAAAAAGTACAGAAACTCAGAAAGTGAAAGAAACTCGCTGGACTCTGATAGGTTATGGCCCTAGAATGAATTGCTGAATTATTATGGTAGTCGTCTGATATGGCTGAAGCCCTTAAAACAAGGCTTACCTTCCCAATGACCACTTCCTCCGCCTTCCCCGCTCAGGTGCTAGGTACAACTTCCTTTGACCTTTCCCGCCCATACAAGGGGGCCTCCAATCAGATCCTTACACGTCACTAAACCCGCCCCTCAAACTCCACCCCTGACAAAAGTCCCTAAAGTCTCAGGCTCCCTGCCTCAGGTCAGAGGATCCGCCCATCTCCCTGCCCTTGTTCCTCTCCATGTGTTTAGAGTTAAAAAGGCTTTCCCTCCCCCATTTCTGCTTCTGGGCTGCACCACCGCCACCACCATTGCTGCTGCCTCTAAAACCTATCAGACCCCAGCTCTGCCTTGCTGGCCGCTGCACCAGCCTTCCAGAGGTGGCCCTGTGCTCTGTGGCTGGGGGTTCCCTCACAAGCTCAGCACTGCTGCCTCTCTTTCCCCACACCTCCTTCCTACAGCACAAACAAGGTCAGAGGGCGGAGCAGGGATCAGCCAATATTCTCTGTAAAAAGTGCAGTGCAAACATTTCCAGCCATGGGGCCATCGCATTCCTGTCCTAGTGCTGAACTCCATCGCAGCACGAAGGCAGCTGCAAACAATGTGTAAGTCACATAAGGGATATGGCTTCCTTCCAGTGAAATTGTATTTACAAAGCAGGCTTAGAACTCCACAGCTTTCTCCTTTAGTGGCTTTATTTACTTTTGCAGAACTGGGGATTGAACTCAGGTCCTTGCGCTGCCAGGCGAGCACTTATTCTACTGAGCCATCTCCTGGCCCCCACCTTTTGTGCCTTTAATTTGAAGCTCTCTTGGATGCCAGCCCACGCATCTAGCTCACCTTAATTGCTGCATGGTGGGGTGGTGGGGACTGCATATTCAGCCATTCCCTGAGGGCCAGTTAGAGATTCTGCCAGTTTTGCATTACAAACAAAGCTGTCCTGTGCTCTCTGTTCAGTAGACCACTCTGGCAAATGAACTCAGAATTTCTGTGTCAAAGGCTGAGCATGAATTTAAAATGTGGACAGACGGTGCCAGAGCGCCCCCAGGTTTGTTTTTAAATTCAGAGGTGCACATGACCTTGTGATGTTCATTGCTTTGCGTATATTTTTTATGCTAGGGACTGGAACCATGGATTTGTCCATATTGGACAAATGCTCTACCACTAAGCTACATTCCCAGTCCCTACTTCTTAATCTTGCTCCTGATGAGCATTTTCTGTTGCTTTAAAAGATCCAGAAATAGGGGCCAGGGATATAGCTCAGCAGCATAAGTGCCTACCTGGCAAGCACAAGGTCCTGAGTTCAATCCCTGGTGCAAAAAAAAAAAAAAAAAAAAGATTAAGAAATAACCAGTGGAACAATCTAAAGGTCAATGGAGGCAGCAACAAACCACCTGGTGATTGATTCAATTCTGGAATAAAAATATTTTTTGTCATGAAGCAATTTCACTCCATTTTGAGCAATGTAAAAATAAATTCTCTTCTGCCCAAACATTCTTAGAAAACAGTAGATATTCTTTTCTAAATGTAAAGAACACTATGCAGCTGGGTATGTTTGTACAGGCCTCCAATTCCAGCTAGAGGAGGCTGAGGCAGAAGGACTGCAAATTCAAGGCCAGCCTGGGCAACTTAGCCACTTGAGACCCTCTATATGTCAAAAATTTTTAAATGGGCTGGGAATATAGCTCAGTGGTAGAGCACAAGCTAGCAAGTGCAAGGTCCCACGTGCAATTTCTCCCATCCAAGTACTAACCAGGCCCGACCCTGCTTAGCTTCCGAGATCAAATGAGATCCGGTAAGTTCAGGGTGGTATGGCCATAGACCTGGGTGCAATTTCTTGAACTACCAAACCAAACCAAACAAAAAACAAATCCACACAATGAAAACAATAGCCACAACCCTCCCACCCTCCACCCCCACTATGGGTGGGAGCTCTGTTGAGGCACTTGCAGAGCAAATGCGCTCCTAGGTTGGATGTGATTGCTATTTGAGCTACAGCCCTTGCAGGCCTGGGTTCTGTGATTGTGAAGTATTTTGAATTTCTCACTTAGAATTCTACTTTAGTGTGGTAGAGTAATACCTGTAATATCAGCACTCAGGGGGCCGAAGCAGGGGGATCACCACAAGTTCAAGGTGAGCTTCAACTATATAGCAAGTCCATGTCTCAAAAAAAAGGGGGAAGGGATTCTAGTTCAGATCTTTTACATGGGGCTGGGGAGCTAGCTCATAGAATAAGTGCTCACCTGGCAAGAGCAAGGGCCTGAGTTCAATCTCCAGTTCCACCAAAAAAACCTAAAA